TCTTTGCAGAAATATTGATCCTTTAACCCTCACAATCCAGCCTCTCCCTGTTAAGGCAGGTACAGCTCACAGATACTCAAAACCTTCTCCCCTGGGGGAAAAGCAGGCCCATGAAATGGGTTAAAAGAAAAAACAAATCAAAAAACCCTCCCACGATAAAAGACAACTGAGTGCCGGGAGAAGCTACACTCCTACCAACAGGTTCTTGGGGAAGGGAAGGGTAAAAGATCTATTTACGCATTCACCAGGGAAGAAACATCAGGGGAAGAAGTCTGATTAACTCAAAATTCAAACAAGAACCACTTAGAAAGGTTACGACAGTCAAATTCTCCCTGTGCAGCACACGGCTGCTTACCAAGTCATCCCCTGAACCTCTGTCTCCGAAGCAGAGGAAGGAGAGCAGCGAAGGTGCAGCACGGTCCCCAGCCGGGGCTACACAAACCCGCTCCGCAGCGCAGTCCCTAAACCAACGGCTAAGCTCATGCTGCCACGTCTAGCACTACCCAGGAGAGCTTCATTTTGCTGCCTAAATCTTTTTTTCCAGAACCAAATTCTCTGCAAACGCAATAGTTGACTGAACACAGCTCTGTTTTCCAAGTTACCAATTCACAGACAAAACATGGAGGCGAACCACCTGCCTTGCAGAACCGAGCTTGGGAGAGTAAGAGATCTCACAGCTTGAACTCAGCCTCAGGGACTGAGCCCAGAGCAGGTTCCAGATGTACGGCGGGCTCGTGCGTTTCCTCCTGGTCACCTGCGTGGCATCAGCTGGATGCACAGAGCCCTGGATGAACCCTTCTTAACTCAACACCAGATTTATGGACGAGGTATTCTGTTCCACGGAGGTGATCTTCGCTGTGGAGGATATTCCATGGCTGCAGGGATAAGAGGAGCCATGGGGTATCCCTAGTTTAGTTTCCCATCCAAGTAAGCACACACAGGTATATTTGTACGCATCCGTTGGGAACGTCCAGCGAACTTGCACGTAAGGCTCAAAGCAAGATCTGTAAGATTCATCTTTGCAAGGTGCCATAAAGATACAACATATTGCATAAAGATAATTTTCAACCCAAAGAAAACAGTTAACGAGGAAAGACTCCAGCAAGTTACCAGAAGGGATCCCTCCTGCCCGTCACCCAAACCAAAGAACTGAAGGAATGAGAAAATGCAGAGGTCCTCCTGTTTCAACCCAATGCTGGTTTCTCCTCCGAAACCATTTCAAGCATGGCCACTAGAGGAAGCTGCGACACTGGCGAGCACCGCTCGGGCTGTAACACGGAGAAATCCCAACCAGTGACATTCCCGCTCCCGGTGCTCCAAGAACAACCGCCTTGGAGTTCAACCACCGCTCCGGTCTTCCCTTGCACTTTCACACCACCTGCAAAATTGAGCATTAAGAAGTTCTGAAAGGGTCCTGGCTACTTAATGCGGACATTGCTCTCGTGGAGTTTTCCAGAAAAGCAAAACAGCAAGAAAATCACTGGGACGTGAACCTGATGCGCACCCTTAAAGCCGTAAATGACAACTAGTTTCCTGGCTGCCTGCATGGCGTTTCCCATTTACTTGTTTAAACATTAAACAAACCCACTGCAAACAATGAGCTGCGACCAGCTTTTCAGTCCTGAAGCCTTCCGGGGAGCCTGCGATACCTCCCGAGCAAAAACTGCTGAGCCAGCAGCGTTGCTCCCTGACCCATGGCCACCAGGGAGGACACAGGCGGATGAAAAGCAGAGGATGGTGAAGCAAGGCACCCGCCAGATCACTCTGTGCTGCAAGCAGCAGATGCAGCCAGCATCAGCTGTACGTTTTATCATCTTTAAGGTCAAGGAAATTCTTCTTTTCCTTCTCTGAATAGGTGCAGCATCCTCCACTATGAATAGGATGAGGGATGCCGTCAGGGAACAGCGATACCGTATCCGCTGTGTGCGCACACGGCTATTGCACAGCGGTCGCCTCGTCACTGCTGCTCTCAGCGTCCTTGGGAGGTAGGAGAGCATCAGATTTGCTGAAGAGGAAAGGGAGGCACGAGTCGGACAACCCAGTTTGTCTGGAGGACATGAAAGTCAGCAGTTCACAAGATCCAGACCAGCTTTCCCAAAGCAAAGCTATTTCAGAGCCACCTAAAGGGGATCGCAGCCAGGGCTCGCCGGCAGCCCAGCTCCTGAGGAACCACCAGCACTGGTGTGCTTTCCCTGATCCCTGGAGCTCGGAACCACCAGCACTGGTGTGCTTTCCCTGATCCCTGGAGCTCGGTTTCCGAGCAGCTCGGAACGGACCGCAGTGGGGTGCTTTCCCTGATCCCTGGAGCTCGGAACCACCAGCACTGGTGTGCTTTCCCTGATCCCTGGAGCTCGGAACCACCAGCACTGGTGTGCTTTCCCTGATCCCTGGAGCTCGCAACATCTACGGACCCTCCCACCGGCCTCATCCCACCCACTGGAGACACGCAACCGGGCTGGTGGCCACAGGGAGCACCCAAGCTGCCACCCAACAGCATCTTCCCTTGCATCTACCCAACCTGCAAACCTTCTGCCCGGATGTGAAAGGGCCCCGACATCTTCTTCCACGTAAATGTAAAACATTTCATCCCTTTGTCTCCTTTCTAGGGGGAAGAGGGGAATAATTATTTTGCATTTCTCAGCTCAGGCAGTGGAAAGGCAGGTTCACACGGAGGCTCCCGGAGCGCTGCCCTGTGCTGCCACATGGGAATTGCTAGTGCTGTCCCAAAGGGTGACACTTACAGCTTAGAAACTCTTTATTTAAATAGTTTATTTAAAGCTTAACGCAGTTAACTTTTTTTTTTAATATATATCTCTCTCTCTCTAAAAACAATTTCTTCCCTCACTTCCCTAAAAGAAAGCTAGATTTAGGGGGATACATTACTTTTTTTTTTTTTCTTCAAATAAAGTCATTTGGTATACATATAAAAATATATTACTTGGGTTTCCTTTCAGTTATAGATCACACAAGGGTTGGGGTGGAGAAAAGAATGGACAAGCACAAAGACCTCAAAAAAAAAAAAAGGAAAAAACAGTCAATTTAAGCACGTGGTGTACTTTGACTTTATAGTGCAACAGCAAGCCAAGAAATCCATGTGCTGCCGACACAAGCGTGGCATTACTCATACTTTTATCACTTTTTCTGAACTGCACGGCACACGTCCTTGCTCCCAAAAGGGTCACATTTCAACGTGACATTACAGCACCAAAACCCAAAAAGGCTGAACTTTAAAAATCTGGAAATCGAGTTTCCGGACCTCAGAAGCAGGTTGCAGCAGGACGATCGGGTTCTCTCCTCTCTCACACCGGAGGCTCAGCAACTTCGACATCGGCAAACATTAGGGACAAGGAGAACACAGCAAGGTTTGGCAACGTTTCTGCTAGCAGCGGGACACCTCGCAGAGCACTGGACCTCTCAACTCCCATCCCAGGGAGGAAAATGAAGAACAAACAGCAGAACGGTGGGACTCCAGAGTAACCCAGAGCACTTCTGGCTCGTTGAAACAGCTTGTAACGGCAAAGAGTAATCCAGGGAGGGATTAAGCTGCAGCGTGTCGCCATGCGGAGAGGGGTGATGGAACATCCTGCTGCGGGAAAGGAGCAGAGACCCTAGCAGGACCTCACACAGAGGCCTGACAGCTCAGCTTAGACTCAGCCCTGGTATCAAGAGAAAAATCCACATCAAAGGCCACAAATTTACCCGAGAGCCGAAATTTAGCCCTTCCAAGTCCGTAGTTGTAGGAAACAAACTGCACATTCACTCAAAACACAGATCAAATATTTCTCATGGATCCAGCCAGGCACGTGGGTGTAGGCAACGACTTTGATACAACTCCAGGCTCGGCTGCCTGGCAGCTCTGCTCGTACTCCCACGTCTCCTGTACCATTTCCCACCCACCCTGTGACAGTCAGTCTCAGTTAAAAAAAACTTTTGATTCACAGCTGCTCTTTTCCCCAACTGCAGCTCAAGAAACCCACCAACCTCTTCTGAGATCTGTTCCCCAGACAGGAGCGAGCCACAGCGAGTACATGTTCATATTGGCACCCGTTTTGGCATTTACCACTGGGATGCAAAAGAACATTTAATAAATAAATAAGTAAACAAATAAATAAATCAACAACACTTCTGAACAGCCACCAAAAAGAACCCTTAAAAATCAAAACAGGGTACGGTACAACTGAAGTTTTCTATACCAAACCTCAAATCTCTCTCTTAGGTGCGGTCTTCCCCTCCTCTTTTAAAGCAGGGTCTCTTCAGGAAATCAGGTTTATGTGATCACAGTGTCTGTGCCCATGGCGCTCTGCCCTCCTCTGTTTATTTCTAGACTTGCCCAATTTAAATCGGATCTGAGAAAGGGACAGAAGTATAAAACACTTCTACGAGCTTCAAGAAAATAGCAGCACAGAGGGGAGAGAGGAGCGAGTTGAGGGGGGAAAGACCACAGCATGAGCTCCCACATCACCAGGGACCAGCGACACCGCAAGGCAAAACCCGACTTCGGAGCGGCCTGGCTGCAGAGCTCGCCTGGAGTCACAAGGCATGAAATCCACAGGAAGCGGGCTTGATTTGCAGTGGAACTCCTAAAGCAACTCGCTTTTGGAAACACGCCTCCACCACGCTACTGCCCTGCCTCTGCAGCCAGGCTGTTGGCACTGCTCACAGAGCTGCCAGGCACTCAGGAGAGCTAACTCGGTCCGGGCTGTATCCACACAGTGCCGGTAGTCTTGCTGGCACCTTCTGCCCCTTTTGCCAGCAATTTAACCTTCAAACAGCATCGTCACATATCCCACAAGGCTTTAGAGACAAACTACACGGGAGAGACGGACAGAAGACGGACGGACAGACTAGCCTTAACATCAGCGGTAGGAGCCATCCCGTGACACCAGGTAATGGGGTAAACAGGGAAGCAGAAGGCAATGGCGGATGGAAGTCACGCTGGGCAATACACTGAAGGGCAGGTACCGAAGCCACGACACAGTGCTTGAACTCGGTGTTCCCCCTTACAGAGGCAGGTCAGTGCTGTTATGTCGAGTTTTCCGTGAAGTCCCATCATCTCTTGGCAGGGCCCTTTGCAAACTGGACATGGCTGCCGTCTTTTTTAGGTCAATGACGGCGTAGGAGTCTGTCCGGCAGGCTTCGTGGGTGGCAAGAGGTGGGGCACGGGGGACCGGCGGGTTCTGATGTCCCTTGCGCGGCTCAGCCTCCAGCTCCACCTGGATGTAGTTGAGTTGCCGCGGCTGCTCTGGACAGGGCCGGGGGAAGTCGAAGCTGAAGACGCTGGGCACGCAGCCGCGACGAGGCTTTGGCAGGAAGCCGCTGCGCCGCTGGCGGGCGCCCCCCTGC